TTTAGGGGTGTGGTCCTGGTCAAGACAATCTCCTGAACTCCAAACTGAATGTCAGAATGGGAAAGAAAGGTGATTTAAGCAATTTTGAGCGTGGCATGGTTGTTTTTCTGAGTATTTCACAATCTGCTCAGTGACTGGGATTTTCACGCACAACCATTTCTAGGGTTTACAAAGAATGGTGTGAAAAGGGAAAGACATCCAGTATGCGGCAGTCCTGTGGGCGAAAATGCCTTGTTGATGCTAGAGGTCAGAGGAGAATGGGCCGACTGATTGAAGCTGATAGAAGAGCAACTTTGACTGAAATAACCACTCGTTACAACCGAGGTATGCAGCAAAGCATTTGTGAAGCCACAACACGCACAACCTTGAGGCGGATGGGCTACAACAGCAGGAGACCCCACCGGGTACCACTCATCTCCACTACAAATAGGAAAAAGAGGCTACAATTTGCAAGAGCTCACCAAAATTGGACAGTTGAAGACTGGAAAAATGTTGCCTGGTCTGATGAGTCTCGATTTCTGTTGAGACATTCAGATGGTAGAGTCAGAATTTGGCGTAAACAGAATGAGAACATGGATCCATCATGCCTTGTTACCACTGCGCAGGCTGGTGGTGGTGGTGTAATGGTGTGGGGGATGTTTTCTTGGCACACTTTAGGCCCCTTAGTGCCAATTGGGCATGGTTTAAATGCCACGGCCTACCTGAGCATTGTTTTTGACCATGTCCATCCCTTTATGGCCACCATGTACCCATCCTCTGATGGCTACTTCCAGCAGGATAATGCACCATGTCACAAAGCTCGAATCATTTCAAATTGGTTTCTTGAACATGACAATGAGTTCACTGTACTAAAATGGCCCCCACAGTCACCAGATCTCAACCCAATGGAGCATCTTTGGGATGTGGTGGAACGGGAGCTTCGTGCCCTGGATGTGCATCCCACAAATCTATATCAACTGCAAGATGCTATCCTATCAATATGGGCCAACATTTCTAAAGAAGGCTTTCAGCACCTTGTTGAATCAATGCCACGTAGAATTAAGGCAGTTCAGAAGGCGAAAAGGGGTCAAACACAGTATTAGTATGGTGTTCCTAATAATCCTTTAGGTGAGTGTATATATATATATATACAGTATATATATTACATATATAATATATTCTCACAAAAATTGTTAGATAATATCAGTGATGATACTGTAAGTATATTTTACTGCATAACATCAGTAAGCATGCAAATATATGGCTCAATAGTGTGCAGTATTTTAAATACCATAGTAGCATTATATTACCATTGTATTACCATGGCATTTATTTTTCTATAATTTATAGTCTTTGTTTGTCTTTATGAATTAAGGATAAAACAAGATACTGCATGTCATAAATCATAATTGCACAAACCTGCACTCTGCTACACACTGACTCACATAAAATGACTAACTTATGGGTTAGTTGGTGACATTATTCAGTTGGTAAAGACTGATGGATATGATGGTCTTTACAATAGGATCAAGGACAGACAAAATGTTTGTTTGGAATAAATGTCTCAGTTTGAACTGTGGGAGATATATAACTTCAATATATTTATTCCTGGTGCATTTTGGATGCTTTTTCCCTTGAGCTTCTATTTCACGACACTAATAGGCCATTAACAGATAAGATACATTTTATGAGTCCATTAAGTAAGTGTAAGTTAAATGACAATCGAAAGGGTCAAGTCATTGTAATTTCCCATGATAGTCCAATGGTGCAGGTTGAGTTGGCGGACATAATTGGCTTTGCTCGTACTGCTCCAGGGAGATGCCTTCAGGCTTGCGTCTTTGCAGTCGTTTATTAACATTTAATACGTACGCTTTTTTCCTCCAGACAGACAGAGGACCAAGCACTCTCTCTTCACTGCAGCGAGTTTGGCGGCATCCATGTGTAATACAGATTAGTCGGCTCTGGAAACATCACCCTGCTGATCTCAAGGCCATGTGGAGGGGGAGGTGAAGATGACGCCAGCCCCCGTTTGTCGCATCCGTGACACTTTTTACTGCTGGACCTGCTTTATCGTCCTCCACCAGTGAGCAAATAACCGGATCCAACAGGCCACCTATGTCTCAAAATAACAGTAAAATGTCAAATTAGTTTGAATTTTGAATGGTATTAAAAAATGTGATGCTCTTAACAATGGTGTTGTTATGAAGAATCTTTACAGAGAACCCGTACCTTAATCCTGAGAGAGCAAAACGGGGCCAACAGCGAGGAGACAAAATGAAGAACTCCCTTAAGTGAGAAAAAAGCAACTTGGTAAGCAAGATAAAAAAAAATAAAACAAACAAAAACACCCCTACGGAGAAGAAGCCATCTGCCTCTGCTAGGCATGCATTTCTAAAAATGAATCATCAATCTGTTCTTTAACTATAGTAAACAATCGTATGACTCCAACTCTGTGTGTAAGCTAGAAAATAAGAATCATCTTATATGGCAATAAAGGAAATGAAGTTCATATTGCATATAAATCAGCGCAGGAAAAACATCCGGCTACTCTATGCAGGCCACCGACTGGGCTTTGGCCATGCAGAGAATTGCGTTTTAGAAATTTCATCTCTTCCATACATGGTGATAAACTCAAACTACCATGAAACAATAAAAAGCGCTGACCAAAGAGCCTCTGTGTCACCCGCTGTGTTCTTTGGCAGCTCGGAGTCTTAGTGCTAAAACTCGGCCTTACGTAAGCGTATGCTGAGATCATTGCATTTCTGAAATAATTGCTTAGAAATATTCCCAAGCGCCAAACTTCGTCTGGTTAAAGACTCTGAACAATAGAGATTAGAAAGCATAAAGCCTGCTCTGATGAACTGAAATAGAAAGCATGTGCTCTAGTTGTGCTGTCAGACGTCGTGTTAATTTCATTACTAAAAAGATTTGCAAATATTTGCAGAGTTTCATCCAGTTACTCTTTGATTTAAAACAAAGAATCATAGGATTGGGCTGCAGCGCTGTAAAAAAGCCAACAGAGCAAATACAATAACGTGTGATCTGTCAGCGAACACTATGTACACAGAAAGCACAAAAGAACACGTTTCCCTCTATCCTTATATTTACACATTTCCTATTTTACTGCAGCACACGAGCACCGCCGAAAGATGCCTGATTTCTTGAATGCTCTGAATCAGCTGATAAATAATGCATACGCATTTATTGATTAATATTTCACTAGGTGGAGGTTGCTGAGGAAATCTTGAGCAGGCCAATAATGCCTTGCGTGATAAACAGTGGCTCTGGCCAGTGTATTTTCCTGCCATTGACTCGGGGATTCAGAGGGACCGACGTTAGCGATTGAATCGGACAGTATGGTATTACAGCTCATAACAATTTGTGCATCTTACTGCCTCTAATGACACTTGTGGTTATTGGCAAAGTGAAGGTTAAGTTAATGAGCTGTGGACTGGACGGTCATCAGTGCTTCACATCTAGAAATGAGTTCATAAAATATCAAATCACTGGACGTGTTTGCACAGTCCAAGACTGTGCATGTATTTCTTGGCTTGGTCTTCTAAAAAATGCTTTTGGACCAATGCCATCAGAGTAAATGCTCAAGGGCAACTCAGGCTCTGGAAACTTCAGGAAAAAATAAAAAAAGCGAAGCGGCACTGCAACAACCTATCAGCCCTTAACCTCAGCTGTTCTCTGCAGTGTGTCTCCAATGTTCTACCTGGTCAGGCATGATAAGCTTAAAAACTTCATCACAGTGCCTGTATTATGCATGGGTTGTTCAGCCTCAGCACTGTGTATAAAGATGTTGTGCTGGACCATTTACAATGTTGCTAAATTTATTTTTAATATCAAAATCAAACAAATAATTATACACCACATACATCCATCCATTCATCACAAGCAATATAAAACCACTAATTTGAACTCAGCCAAGCTCATTTGGACTCTTAGTGCTACAGAACACTGTATTTTTCTCGCTCCACGTGGGGAATGGTTTTGACATCATATCGCCAATTAGCTAGGATCTAAACTTGTGGGTGGCGAGCCAAGGAAAAATAACACTGCAAAATGCAAATAATAAAACAAAATATGAATGAAAAATTAATGCAAATAATACAACTTATGGTACACAGAGGAAAAATTAAGCCATATTCGCAAGTGCGTGCTCTATTGTTTTGTACAGACCACAATGTTGCTTTAACAAAATGTACAGTTTTTCTATTCAGTCTGTCATGTTAATTTTGTATATTGCCTATGCAGTTAATAGTAACATCATTAATAAATGTCATGACTTTTAGGAACATTTCGTATTATCTATCTATCTGTCTGCATATCTATCTATCTATCTATCTATCTATCTATCTATCTATCTATCTATCTATCTATCTATCTATCTATCTATCTATCTATCTATCTATCACAAGCAATATCAAAACACTAAATTGAACTCATATAGGCTAGCTCATTCGAACTGTTAGTGCTATAGAACTATGTATTTTTAAATTTATTCTCAATATGTATCAAAATCAAACAAATAAGTATACATCCTATCTTTATCTATCTATCTATCTATCTATCTATCTATCTATCTATCTATCTATCTATCTATCTATCTATCTATCTATCTAAGCACAAAACAGTGTTTTCATATAGGCTACATGAGGGAATTGCCTTTGGCATCGGATTGCCAATTAGCTCGATCTTTTAAATGTTTCATTGCATCCATTTTATAGTGATCTACATATTTTTTTCTGTTTTATATAGAAAAGACGAGACAACACGGCAATGGAGAGTGTGGCTTAAAATATAAACACTGTCCCTTCATTTAGACGAGATAAATGCTAAGGGGGGAATGTATTGATGCAGCTATTTGCATCAGATAAATATCTGTTTAAAAAAAAAAACCCGAACTAAAACTGCCTTTCATGACGTTATTAATGACATTACCAGCGATGTAATATCTCATGCGCGTGCACACACACCTCACATTACTTGTGTTTAGCGCCACAAAATATAAAGACGAACAGCAAGAACAACAAAGACGGTGTTGAGAGGCTCTCTTTAGACGTTACGTTGAGTCTGACATCATGGGAACTCCGCAACCTTAAAAGAGACGGTAAAAAATACAACGGGAGATTCACAGTTCGGCTCTCAGTGTGGAATGATAAGGACTAACTAACTGCGTCTCCTGTCAGCTCCTCTTCCCGCCGCTCAAGGCAGCAGAGCAGTCACGTGACAGCAGCGAGGGCTCACAGGCTGAGAGAACGCGCTTCATTCGCCATACTGTGTTTTGTGCCATAACGCATTTTTATCGCAACATTTTACTCCCACTCGGTGAGTACGTTTCCAGGCCTTTTTGTAACCCTTTTTGTCTTTTCACTTGCTCTTTTTTTATTTTTTTCTCTCTCCTTTTGCTGGGGTTTGAGCGTTGAGATTTGAAAAAGTGTTGTTTTGAGGCGTTTTTCGATCCGTACCTCAAGTTTTTAGTATGCAGTGATTCCTATCGGGCTATTCAGTGCTGAGTGACACTGGCCAAGTACGTGCTTGCAGTCGTGTGAAATCATGCAACTGGTTTTTAAATGGCCATGGCAGTTCTATTTTTACGTATGTACGATGATATTTGTTTTGAACCCTTTTTCCTTTTTTGTTCTCTGCCATAGACTTTTGCTGTAGATATGCTTTGCTTGTATTTTGCGGTGTTGTTCATGAGAGTTTTGTGATTTTGATGTCACCGAGCGAAGCATTTGCTTTTATTTTGGTCTTTTCTTTACCCAAAAGTCATTTTGAGACCTGGTGACGTTTTAATGGAAACTTTTCTTGCAGCTTACCTGTCACGTTTGTTTATTTTTGCTGGTTTTTCTTTTCTTTTTTAATGCCTTATACTTTTGCAGATGATTTTAAGGTGAAGTGATTTTTGGAGGTGCTCATTTTTCACGTATATGATGCAAATTAAGGTGTCTATGAAGGGAACAATTGTTTCTTTGGGGGAAATATCAATCAGTGCGTCTTTGCTTTCGCCGAAGATGAACAGACTCTCCTTTGCAGGTATATAAGGACAAGAAATGCAACCTTTCAGCACATGTTTGTTTGCAATAAAAGCAAGGCGATTCTGAAATGTTAATCTGTGAATGATGTATTCTTTGGCTGAGAGGTTTAATATTTGTAGTTGTGCTTGTCCATAACCATACTGCAAGTGAATGTGAAACTATGTGGAACCTAGTGTGAATCATACTTTTATCGTTGTGTAGATTACTAGATTACAATAAGTGGATAAAATGAATTTCTCATTCACCCTATATATGTGGATTTGATAGTATTATATTTGAAAAATTCAGCCCACACATCATCTAAAACATAGGATTATAAATGTGCATATGCCAAGGTCCCACTAACTGCAGTTTAGATATAATCTTCAATTTCAGACTGTAAGTGTTTGAATGACAAATATTCTAACTGTGAGGGTTGGATGATTTCTGCTGAACACGTGTGTGTGTATATATATTGATGTACGGACCAACAGAGCACATTTTAATGTTGGTAAATAGCCAAATTTAACAGACAACGTTGAATAAAAGGGTCAAAAACACATGTAGATGTCTCACAACTGAAAAGAAAGAGTAATTAGGATGTTAAACTGTCTTTTAGGGTTTCTCAAAAGAGATTCTGCATGCTGTTTCTTTCAGCACCATGGACAGCGGATGAGTTCACAAATAGCATTTCAGCACTCTGCAAACAAGCACAACTTTTTCATGGCATCTATTATGTACAGCGGGGAACCTTTTGCAACGCATTTAAAGCTTATTTTCAGATCTGTCTGCTAGGGAAGGGATAGTTCACCCCAAAAAAGAGTATAAATCTTTTACTCGCCCTCATGTCGTTCCAAACCTGTATGGACAAAAACAGTTCAAAATATCTTCTCTTTTGTTCCACAGAATAAAGTAAGTCATACAGGTTTGGAACGACATGAGGGTGCGTAAATGTTTTTTTGGGTTGAACAATCCCTTCAACTTTTTCCTTTCTAAAAATGTATTTTACTGAGAAAATCTGTAAGCATTCTGCTTTTCCCAAAAGCAGTGATCAGTGACACAGCAAGGTGTGTATGTGTGTTTTTGTGGGGGTGGGCATGGCAATAACAGCTGTTGTGCTTTGTTTTTTTTCATCTTGAGCTTCAGCTATTCCAGTTAGCCTACAGAATATCTTGAGTTTCTATCTTAATATCGGCCATTGTAGTGATGGTGAAGGTGCGTGGCTGCATTGAGATGTACATGGCGTGTGTTGAAAGGTGGCTCTGCTGCATTGATAAATGTCTCTTTCTCTGTCATGCCTCCAGCTGGGTGTTATGATAGCCGGCGTTACTTCCTGCGGTGTCGTCTCAGCCCTCCAGGCAATTTTCCCCTGTTATCTGGGCGTCGCACATGAGAGCTATAAATGAGGGTTGAGAAATATAATAGCTTATGTGTGGAGATGGCTTTGAGCTCATGAATAAAAGATCCTTTCGCTAGTAAAGGACTGTTTACGCTGGACATGTGCCCATCGTCTGAGTAGAGTAGAGCTGGACTGTGTGTGTTGTATGGTACTTTGTCGTTTTTGGTGCATGATTTGTTGGTTGATTTGTGACTCCTGATCTCCTTAAGATATCACATTGTTATTGATATCAGTTGTTTCCTTACAGACATTATAGCCGGCGGGATACTTTATACCCAGAGGAATTTGCAGGAATGTCTTGGTCTCAGATTCTCATACTGCCAAAGCAACAGGACGTAAAGGATCAGTGTTAAAACCCCTTTGAACTGCAGTCTCTGATCCGTCACTTGGGGAAAAAACATTGCCTGTTAGGGAAACGCTGGGATGGAAACCACAGCGGTTTGATTCTGTCGAGTTGTTTTCAGTTACTTTTGTACTGTGAGATTGATATTTGAAGACTTGATTGATTATTTTAAAAGCATAGTTCACCCTAAAATGAAAAATGCCATCATTTACTCAAGTTGTTGTCGGACTTTCTTTCTTTTATGGAACACACAAGATATTTTTAACAACGTTGGGTTTTAAACAACATTGGACCCCATTGACTTTCATTGTATTAACAAAAGAACACTGAGTCATTTTTAAAAAATATCTTCTTTTGTGTTCCACAGAAGAAAGAAAGTCACACCGGTTTGAAATGACATGAGGTTGACTGCATTCGCAACACATTTTACTTCTGATGCAAAAAAATTATGGAAATTAATTTTGATTAAAGCAATTCATCAAACATTCCTTTGAAATATTGTGCACTGATTAATTGTGCACAAAAACACTAGTAATATATTAAGAAAGTACATTTTGATTTTATGTTGAAAGTAAAGTGCACAATTAATATTTTGACTTGTCTTTTTTGTCGGGGTCGCCTCATTTCACACTGACATTTTAACACTGAGATTTCTAAATGACATTCTAATGACTGCAAGACTTCATTGCTTTCCCAGACTCATATTCTAATAAACAAAAATTCACTGTGATGAAGGACGTAAATGCTTTTGAGTTCGAAATGAGCTTATTTCCTTACATGGTCATATCATAATAACAAGCAGAATGAGATAAAAGCTCCTCTCTCTGAAGGACTCTAACCTCTCATGTACCCCAGAGCAGATAAACAGCTCACCCTTGGCCATGAGCACTGGGCTTTTATAATCTCAGAGGAATCGGTTTCCCTTTCCCAAGCTGTAAATTTGATAAATGGGAGGATTCTTCATTAAATAATCATATTCTGAACAATCAAACCAATTTCTGAAGAACAAGGGCAATCTAGCTGAGCTTTTAAGTGGCAATTATTTTAAAGCATTCACATTATAATACAGTCCTTAAGTGCAACCTCTTCTTCAGTGACATGTACTCCAACAACTTTTCCAATTAAATTGTTTTGTTAACCTTGTGTGACATTCTGAGTTTCAGCCAATCATTAGAATGAGCTCAAATCAGAGATTATTGATGTCAATCATATGCAAGTTTTTGTCCTGCTCCAGAGGGAGTTCAAGTCAACATGAAATCAAAATTGATCCTATTTTCCTTATCAATACATGCATATTCATGCTGTTGTCACCGAGCACTTTTATTTGTAACCCCCTCCCTCCAAACACCAATAGAAACCACTTTTCACAATCCAATCAATTCCCAATACAATACAATTTTTCTAAACACATTTTTTTTTGTTTCACTCATATATACCACCATTCAAAGTCAGTCATTTTATAATTTTTTTAAGAAAGTAATACTTTTATTGAGCGTAAATGCATTAAATTGATCAAAAGTTATATTTGTAACAAAAAAAAAATAAAATAAAAGCTGTTCTGTCTGCTCATCACAGTTTCTACAAAAATATTAAGTATCACAACTGTTTTCAACATTGATATAAATAAGCACAAAATCCTCATATTATAATGGTTTCTGAAGGATCATGTGACACTGAAGACTGGAGTAATGATGCTGAAAATTCAGCTTTGATCACAGGAATAAATGACATTTTAAAATAGCCTATATTAAAATGAAAGCAGTTATTTTAAATAGCAATAATATTTCACAATACATATTTTTTTTACTATATATTTTTAGGCTATGTTTCCCAAGCTATGATGTGAGTCTTTTTAGTTGTTTTATTGAAACTGTACTCTGGTTAACTTATTAATGGAATCATTTATAATAGAACTTATCAGCTGTCTTTTTTCCTGAACTCTGAGCACAGCCTCCAAGGCCTCCAATCTCATTCTACCAGAGAAAACAGTTATTTTACAGTGTGTTTAGGTTGACAGCAGGTTAATGGGCCGGACTGAGAGATGCGGCTCTATGGAGCATGAGTGTAATAAGTGTGTGGTCGGATCTGTGGTTTGATCCTGTCACTTACTCGCAGCTGAAGACTCTGTTCCATCAGCCAATCAGCTCTGAGTCCAGTATATAGTAAGAAATGCCATCAGCCAATCAGCTCTGAGTCCAGTATATAGTAAGAAATGCCATCAGCCAATCAGCTCTGAGTCCAGTATATAGTAAGAAATGCCATCAGCCAATCAGCTCTGAATCCAGTATATAGTAAGAAATGCCTTCCTAGCGCTCACTTAAGACCCGTTTGGGCACAATCCGAGGAAATAATCCATCTGCCTTCCAGAAACGTTTTTAGAGTGAGTGTGCGTCCAAGTTTGTACTTTAAAATTGGACTTTGCTCTAATTGAGTCCCATCAGTCCCATTAGTTTCACTGTGACATTCGAAAGACTAAGTAATATCAGATGGCACAGAAAATCCAACTGGCTTGTTTTAGTTTTTGCTTTACAAACTTCATTAACTTGTTACTCTGAAAAATTAGTCCAGCTGGGATTGTTTCTCACTTTGTTCCAACTGAGAAACTTTTTTTTTACTACCATACTTTGCACAGGGGAAAGTATATATATATATATATAGTGTATTGTATTATTGGTGTATATTAAAGAAATAATGAAAATTATATAATACTTCCTTATATTCATCTGAGAAATATTGTAGAAAGCTTGTTTTGATTATTTTTAACTATACTCACAAAAATGTTAAGATGCTTCATGCTTGTTTTCTACAGCATTTCTCTGCATCATTTTAAACAGTTTTGTCTAAGTGTTATACATTCTTTATGTGTGAAGCCTTTTAATGTGAAAAAAAAAAACACAAAAAACTTAATGCACCTTTAAAGGGTCACTCCACCCATTTCAACATTAATCTTTATTGAAAGTGGGTTATATATGTAGTCGAAATGTAAAAGAAATTTTGAATTTGGTGCCCTCTTGACCGAGAAAAGACAGAAAATAACTTTAGGGCGCATTTGTATGTAAGACAACAACTCCCACAATGCACCACGTTGCACAGCTCCGCAAGCCACTCCCACTAATCCAGAACAGCGCAAACTTCAGAGAAATCACTCTTCCGTCTACAAGAAGGCTAGCTGCTAAATGAGTTTGAAATTCATTTCACAAAAAATGTCTAGTTAGTTGGCTGTGGCGAGCAGGACGAGGGCGAGGGACGTGAGAGGACGACGCGAGTGATAATGAAT